TGTTTGGTTCCTGTATTATCTGGTTAGGAACTGAAAATAAACACAGAGCTGTCTGGTGAATCGTGCTGCCAAGAACTGCAGGCTTGGACCTCGAGATTGTACCAATTCAAAACACGACTTTGTTCCCTTATTCACTGGGAAGATACAAAGACAACCTAGCAGCAGTAGTTTTAAAAGTGGTAGAAAATCACGTGGGAAGTTGGCTTTGGAAGTGGTTGTCTAGACCGGTGGGATATTATTTTGTTCTTTGAATTATGTGGATGAATAAATTATCTAGTATTTCACGGTCCAACAATGATCAGGCACTGTTCTTAGGTACAGAAATCCCTGAGTACCTCTAGCCAGACCTTATCCTCAAGGAGCAGCAGAGCATGATGCAGGAACAAGTGATTTCTAATTCAAGGAAGAATGTGATAAATGCATGAGAATTACCACTGGAGTGCAGAAGAAAGAAATTCTCTTTTAAAAGGGAATAAGGGAATGCATCAGGGAGAGGGGGGACTAAAAAAGTGGGGGTTCTGGACAGAAAAAAAGCTTTGGAGTTCTTGGAACACTGAGTTTTCATTTGATCAAAGAGGGGCTCCACAGTGGAAGCCCTAGCCTAGAAAGGACAGTGGGATAGAGGGAGACCTGGAGTCCTGAGGAGGCTGGATTGGGGTTAAAGAGGGATCTAGGTCACAACTAATAGATCCTGAAGCCTTGAGAAACCAAGAAAGAAACAGGCATCAGGATCTAAAATAAAAGAGGGGAGAGAAGAGGGACAGAGATATCTTAGGAGATGGGCGGGACAGATGAGGTCATGAGACCTAAGAGGCAGTGATAGAAATGTAATGGACAGGACTGTGAAAGCAGAATGCCCAGGAACTTCTTGATCAGGTATGAATGGCAGGGGAAATCAGACCGCAAGGAAAATGGTGAAATTTTAATCTGGGTGGCTGGAGAGATAATAAAGCTCAGAAAAAAAGAGAAACGATGGAGAACACCGTGGTGGCGACCGGAAGGGCCCAGGACACAGCTAGGAAAGTGGGTCTAGGGACACATGGGTGGTAGAACCGGAGGAGCAGGCTCATCATTCCTTCTCCTGGAGCCCCAGTAAGTCCCAGCCACCCGGGCTGTGGTGCCCAGCAAGGAGAATCAAGAGGGAAGACAGAGGCCCCAATATGAAGCTGTTTCCAGGAGCACCAGAGGAAAACCGCCATCAAGCACCGTGGTTTCCCACCCTCACCAACCCTGAGATGTGAAACTGGTCCAAAGGGTTTGAAAGCAATCACTGGAAAGAAGGTGGTCTAGAAAACTGTCTTTATGGACATCTCACCCTGTGAGTGCAGGTCTCTGACATTCCAAAAGGGAATGTCAAGCCGCAAAGAGCATGGTGAGATTTTTAACTTCTCACGATCAGTGTCTCTGAGAAGATAGGATTTTTCTCCTTGCTATGTTGAAATGAACTTTTTAGGTCCCTTATTCTTTCTCTCTCCTTATTTCTTCTTACCCTTTTTTCTTCTCTTCTCTACTCTCCTCCTCTCTTTGTCTCCTTCCTTGCATACTCTTGTTTTATTTTGGGCTGGTTTAATGCATGGGTGTCCTTTGCTGACCTACAGGAGGAGCTACTGTCACCAGGATTCACCATTGTGACAAAAAGGATTAACAGTCTTTTCTTCCCTCCCTCTCTCCCTCTCTCCTTCTCTCCCTCTCTTTCTCTCTCCTTCTCTTCCATTTTTTCTTTTCTTTCTTTAATGCAGTGCTGGGCATGGAACCTGGGGCTTTGCACATGCTAAGCAAATACTCTATGACTGAGTTATAATCCAGTCCTCAATATTTACTTATATTCAGTATTTATTGCCATCGCTGATTGTGGTGGGATCTCTTTTGTGTTCTAATACTCTCTGGGGTCTTTCAAAGCTCAAAAATATATATTCGCACTATGACAGCGTTAACTTTTTAATGCTGCTTTTTTCTATCTCTTTCTTGTACTGGTTTCAAAGTCACCAATAAATCTTTTGGTCACTGCATAGGGTCCTAGAGCCAGAGACAGGACACTCCTGGCATTATGATCAGAGTCATTTAATACTCAAGGTGGTGTCTAATATCTGGCAAGAAAGGCTCCACTAGGTGTCATGTGTCCTGGGACGTTAGGATACACTAGGAGCACCTTATCACTGTGTGTTATCCATGGCCAAAAGAAAAGCTGAGGCCCAGGTGTGGATCTATGTGGGCACCAACAAATTTGAAACACCTCTTCCCATAACCAGTTTAAGGTAAAGGTAACCATCTTTGTCCTATCTTTATACACTAAGATTTAAATAGTACATTTTTCACATGTTTACAGAAAACAGTCAATGAACTATTGGTGGAAAGGTCTGTGGGTTTGGTTAACGAGGTGGAGGAATATCACATTTCGACTGGAAACACACCCCTGGAATGCCAAAACATTTGTTCCAAAGTCTGATTTCCTTGTGCCACTGGAGGCATGGCAATTGTGTATCTGTTCAATCTGGGAGCCCAGGACCAGCAAGACATTTGATCCCGGTACATCTCAGGAGCCTTTTCTTGTTATATTATATTCTTTGGGAAAAACCACCCAGCACATTTGTGAACTTACTCCATACACTTTTGACTGGCATTTTATTTTTGCTGCTTCCCCCTCTGCCTAGGATGGGGACAGAAAGCACAGGGCACTCTTCCAGCTGGCTCAACAGGTAGGGAGCACGAGAAGCTGGCGTGTCTTCTCACTTGTGCTTACTCTAGCTGCCACGCTGCAAGTTGCTCCTCTCTCCCCACTGCCATTCATCCAGCTCCGTGCAGCAGCAGCCCAGCTGCCGTGTCTGCCGGGAGGGGCTGCCAAGTGCCCTGCCTACTGGCTGCTTCCTGAGCCCTGCCATTCCACACACAAACACATCCACACACGCTCTGCCTGGATCACACACCGAGCCACTCAAACATGCGAATGCATTCCTTCCTTCCTGCTCACTGTCTCGGACTTTGACTTCTACAAGCTCATGGAACATTTCTGGAACACGTTCTTGATCCAGCAGGGTAGGATTGTTTTGATTTCTCTCTTTGAAGCTTGAGCATTTTGAGAAAGCAACTCTTACCTTCCTGGCCAGTGTCTGTATTCTAGCAGGGAGATGAAGATGTGCTGTTTGCCATGGGGGGAATACGTGCATCTCCTGTGTCCTTTTTCTTTTTAGGACTTGTAGGATTCTTGATACCATTTACACAATTGGGTAGGCTCAGATTTTAAAGAAGCCCTATGAAATGCTTTTGCATGTGTTTTAAAAAGGCATTTGAAAATTGAAAGTATGATTTGTGGTAACTAAATCATCTGTAAAAAATATTGTTCTGGAAAGTAATGGTTGCTGGCCATAAAGAAGGATATCTGTGATTCAACTAATGTGTTTTTAACCCTTTCTTTGGCTCTAACCTACACTTACTGATGCTATACTCAATTTTGGCTTTATATTAAATCAGTTCATCTGCATGTCATCCAGAAATGATCTGTTTTTGAGAATTAGATAAAACATATACTTATCATTAAGTATTTTAAAATATTCATGATAGTAGCTGCAGCCTTGGCATTTATGTATGCCATAAATTTGGTCAGGTAGTCTTTTGGGTGTTTGGGATAGCACTTAAAGTATCAGTGGCTGTATTAGAGGTTTTTAGTTTGGAGCAAAGGAAGTTTATTAAAAATGATAAACAGCAAAATTTGGCTTATGATGCACAACAAACCTGTTGTCTCATTAATTAAAATCACTATTGGCTTTTAATTAAATTGTTTGAGTTCAAAACTTTTTTCTGTTTCTTTTTCATTCGGATATTTGATTCTGCATATCCTACCTCAAGTGTACCTAGAAGGTCCAACTATAGAACTAAAGAACTGAACTACAGAAATGCATTTGAAAATTTCCTGGTTAGACGGTGTAACATAATTTCCCAAGTTTTGGTTAAAAACTTGAGGTTATGCATAAAAGGCTTGCATTTCATCTTTACTTTTCAGAAGTTTTCCTTGCATAATCCGTGGAAGGCATAAACACCCATGTGCACCTAACCAAAGGTTTTTCTGAATCATTCACATGAGAATTTGTAAAGGAGCAAGTACAGAACTGTGGTCCAATATAAACAGAAAAGTCAGGCTGGGAGGATCTCAGAAGCCTGTGACTGTAGGGGACCACTTTGGCAGCCTTTTGCAGATGAGGAAATCGAAGTCCAGCAGCATTCTCTTGGTTGCAAAATGCATCTCTTAATATGTGGACGTCTTGCCTTGCCACCTTATTTACCCCCCCCCCCATGCCTCCTATCAGTTCCTGAAGCTGCTAAATATAGCTGTCTGTGGCTGGCTGCATGTGCAACCGCACACCCCATTCTATCTGCCATATCTCAGTTACAGATTAGTCCTCCCCAGGGTCATTCTATGTACACACACTACATATTTTAGACAACCAGGAGAGTGAATCAAGCAGAAAGAGACAAACAGAGATAGACTGAAGCCTGGCATGGGCACAGGAGGCAGCACACTAGAAAGAGCCGGCTCTGGCTTAGTCTGCTGCCTCTGCTTAAAAGCTGGTTCTCTCCAGGCCACCTTTAGGAGATCCTCCGGTGCTCCTGACCCCCTGCAGAGATATTCCATTTCCATCCCGCAGCATCCACAAGTTAAGTTCAGGGGAAGCGGCTCTTTGGGATCTCTCCAAAATTAGGGGTGGCAGGAGTTACGTTTGAACCAATGTCAGCGCAAAGCAACAGTGCCTGGCCGGCTTCCAACACCTTTGTGATGCATATGAGCAGGGAGCCCGGTACTTAAAGTTGGAGACCCGGGAGTCTGGGAGCTGGCGGAGCGCACCGCGCCAGGGCGGCACTTGTTGGAGTTTGGCCACTGGGCTCCAGCGGACAGACAGACCGCTCGCTCGGGCCCGGGCAGGGCCGGGGCCGGAGCCGGAGCTCGCGTCGCGTCGCGGGGGGACTGGCCGCACCGCCTCTCACCGCGGACTGTGCTCTTTTTCCAGGTGGCCCTTCGGCTGCTGAGCCCTCCGCCGCGCTCCGGGACGGTTTGCGCCTCGCCGCCCGACACTGACCATGACCATGACCCTCCACACCAAAGCCTCCGGCATGGCCTTGCTGCACCAGATCCAGGCGAGCGAGCTGGAGCCTCTCAGCCGCCCGCAGCTCAAGATGCCCCTGGAGGAGCCGCAGGGCGAGGTGTTCCTGGACGGCGGCAAGCCCGCGGTCTTCAACTACCCCGAGGGCGCAGCCTACGAGTTCAACGCCGCGGCCGCCGCCTCTGCGCCGGTGTACGGCCAGCCGGGCCTGGCTTACGGTCCCGGGTCCGAGGCGGCCGCGGCTTTCGGCCCCAGCAGCCTGGGGGGCTTCCCGCAGCTCAGCAGCGTGTCCCCGAGCCCGCTGATGCTTCTGCACCCGCCGCCGCAGCTCTCGCCCTTCCTGCACCCGCACGGCCAGCAGGTGCCCTTTTACTTGGAGAACGAGCCGAGCGGCTACGCGGTGCGCGAGGCCGGAGCCCCGGCCTTCTACAGGTACCGCGCCCGCGGGTGGCCGCGGCCCGGGACGGGCACCGGGAGGGAGCGGGCGAGGGCCAGCGCAGGCCGCGGCGCGGCGATTCGTGCGGCCCGCGTGCTCGCCATTGGCAGCTGAAGCCCCGGCTCTCCACCCTCCCGTGGGTGCGAGGGGCGGACCGGGAGCCTGGGTGCTACCTCTCCCAACAAGCGTTGCAAGTCCCTGCAGAGCCAGTTATTTGTGGGGGGAAAACACCCTGTAGCAAGTAAAACCCAAGGCGCTGTGAGTTCCAGCGAGGGCCTTACTTTGCTATTTAAACCAGGAGGCGTCTGGGGTGAGCGCGAGTTCAGCAGAGTTTTATTTATTATTATTGTAATAATTTTGTTTTAATATGCTGGGGAAATTTTCCTTTCATCCCGAGTTTTGGATTGGAACTGTGCTATGATGCTGATGATTGCGGGGAGCGGTTCCCACCACCTGCCCTGTCCGTCTTCCCTAGCCCACCTTAAACTGCAGCTGCTTAGAGAAGCCACAGGAGTTAAATGCGTCCCCCTAAGTTTGATTCCTGACAGTCCCTTTGAAGCAGAGTGTTGGCATGTGACTTTAGAACCTGGAAATAGGTGTCCCAGGAGTTCAAAGCGTGCCATGTGGAAGCATCGGTGCCTGGAAGACATCGCCCGCTGCCAGCTCAGTTCCATCTCTGCCCTACTGGCCACAGAATGCACCTGGGCGGGAGAGGGTCTGCCAGGTCCCCAGCTCACAGTCTCTGGAAGGACACTGGGTACCCTTGTGACTTAAGTGGCGTTTGTTTTGTGTCCTCATTTTCTTTTCTTTAGTTGAGATCAGTTCCTTGGTCTCCCTCTTTCTGCCACTTGGTCCTGTCTCCTGCTGGGCCTACCGAGGGCCTACCTGGGCATTTGTGATCAATACCACTGTCCCAAGATCCTGCTGCGACAGGGATGGCAGGGCTGAGTTCCTGCCTCCTGGGCTGCCCAGTGCCCACATAGGTGCTAATTTAGGCACTTCCCTGCTGTACACTGGCTAAAGCCTCTGAAGTTGCCTCCTGCTTTTGCCCAGACTTTCTGCACTGCAAGCCTTGGGCCCTTTTCTGCTCAGTGTTGTATTTCTAAAGATATTTCAAGCAGGAGAAACGGTACTAAGGGATCCTGAGAGGCAAATTTTTGGGGTATCCAAACATCCACTTTCAGCCCCTTTTGTCGACCTTAGAGCATCCCACAGACTGAGTTAGAAGATAAACAATGAGCAAAACTTTACAAAGTTGGTCTATTCAAATTAATTTCACTTGTTTTAATTCAGGGTTGAACTGGATAGAGAAAAACAATTTCTTCTGCTCACTTTTTTTCACCCCAGAAGAACAAATTATAGCGATTAAGTCTGATTTGAACATTTAAAATTTGATAGGAAGAAAAGCATTGGTAGGATGTGAATTCCATAACCTTATGGTGGACTCCTGAAACTATTTTCTCTTCCATTTAATTTTCAGTTCTTTTATTGCAAATTAATGCCACTGAATTTCAATGGACACTAATGAGACTGCTCCTTGAAGGATTATTTACTGCCTTGGTAATAATTACAAAGTGAGCATGGTCAAATAAGGAGGGGATCACATTTTATTCAAAACTGTTCATCATCCCAGTGGCAAATAATATCACTATAATACACCACATCTTAAATTTTTGCATCAAATGATATTCAAATACTTTTCGAATAATAAAAAAATGACATGAACTTAAAAGCTAAAGAATTCACATAAATGGAATTCTGTGTTGCAACTGAGCTTTAGAATGATTTTTTTTTGGTCTAGATTATTTGCTATATAACATCCTGCTCTTTGGATTGAATTTTGCGCCCCCCCCCCTTTTTTAAAAGAGGGGAGAAGGGATTCATCTTTGCAAGTATTTCAAGTGGGCAAAGGTTATTTAAATGTTTGTTTCTCAACTTTCCTGTTTGAGTAACTCTGATAAAAGATAACAATTGATTAGGTGCTTGTAAGGATCTTTATTTCTCTTAAGTAGTTTTCAAAAGAAATGGAGTTCAAAGTGTTGTTTTCAAACTGCTTATCATGACCTAGAAGATCAAGAAATCAGTTTAGTGAGTACAGAACATTTCTTTTAAAAAAAGAAACAAAGCAGAAAAAATAATAGAAAATATGACATTGTATGATATTTAGTAAGGGTAAATTTTGTTTCCTGACAATTTCTTTTAATTTCATGTGCTTGCGCCAATTCTGACATAAGATGTATTTCTTACTGTGCATTAAGGTAAAAAAAAAGTTTGGAAAATACAGATCTAAAATGTGTTAAGCAGAAAACACAAAAATCAGGCAAGTGGCTTTGGTTTTATCTATAGAAAGCAAAAAGCTGATTTGATCACCTGTATTTTTCCCTTATACATTAGGCTTGTGTCTCTAGGTCAGTTATACAAAGCTTTATTATTCCCGAATTTTAAGTTTTCCATTTGTAGGATGGTCCTATTGCGTGGATTTTCCACATGAGTGTTGCGCTGTGGTATTCAGAGAACTGTGTAAAGCTGATTATTTAGTTTAAGATGCTGTGGTTAATTTCTTCCTTTGACTACTGTATGCAGCCACATTTTAATATGAAAAGAGTCACAGGTGAAATTGTTCAGGGAATTTGATAATATAGGAAAGATTGCCACATATCCCAACACATTGTTACTAAGAAATAATAAATTTGTTGGTAGGCAAGCTGTGATTTTGTAAGATTTTTCTTAACTAAAACTTCATGATGGAGGCACCTGGGAGTAATTTTATCCTAGGTTTCTTTCTAGGGCTCAACTTAGAAGTTTAAATAAAACTAAAGTCAAAACAGGTATATTGACAAATTTTACAAATTCAAAGTAACTAATGCTGCATGCTTACTTCAATTTTATCACTATGTCTAAAGGCTGTCTAGAGGCTGAACACTGACGACTTGCAAAAAATAACCCTCAACAAATATATAAACCTTTTAAATCAAAATCAATGCGCTGGTAATTTGTATGCTGGCTATCTGCGTATTTTGGGCAGCTAGTTTATCCATGGTGATCATTTAGCATTATTTCTCAACTTTGAACAGAGGTTCATTTCCAGGTAGAGATTTGAGTGGCTAATATTCAAGTTTCTAGTAATTTTTTCCTTGTGATTGAATGATGTTAGAGTCCTTTTCTTTCTAACTTTTTTCACCCATTTTAACTGATTACCTGACACTGTACTGGTCTAAGAATAGTTCGAAGAGCCACATACTGCCTAGGGAATGAGTGTATGTTCGGATGAAAACAGAATTACATTTCCAGTCCATTTTCACCTTCTCCATGTGGCTTGTACTGTTTAGTAGAAAGCTTCTGAAGGATAATTGCCACTTATTCTAATCTTTCTCACACTGTTAATTCGGGTCCTTGGCTATAATTATTTGTTCCTTACTTTTGTGACTATAGTTAAGCTATGACACATAATTTGAGAAAAGTTTGGCTGATGATTTTGCTTTCCTGTACTTTTAAGGATGTAAAAATCAGGGACAAGAAATACAAATGGCAACAATAGAAGAAAAATTATAAAAGATGTATAAAAAATATAAAAACTGTCTAGTGATAATAAGAAAACAGTAATTTTATTAAGTGAGATTGGATATGTGAAAGTGGTATGTATACAAACATTAGATATTTTTATTACTTTATCCATATATTAATATTTATTTTGGTGTTTTTGCGAGCTAAACAGTAGGAAGGAAAAGCAGATATAAGCGGCCAAGGCTTTTGGATACTGAATGCTGATAATGTAAATCCTTTTCCTCTGGAAGATGTATTTTGATAACATCTTCATTACCGTGTAAATTTGTTTGCAGCCTGGGTTGTCACAAAAAAAAACATGTATAGATGCATTTTTAGAATGTCAAAAGCCTGATGAAATATGTGAAGATGAGTTTACATAAAGCAATGAATCTTGATTATATATATCTCAACTCTATACGCGACACAAAGTTAATACATCTTACACCTTCCTGTTATTTCAATATTATTTTTAGTGTAACTTTAGAAAATCCTAAAGAGAGAGCAGCACAATGTTGGGCTCATTTCGGGTGTTCTCATCTAGGAGACTGAATGGAGAGGAGCAGGTTAGTCTTTTAGTTTAATGCTTTGTTTACCTGAGAAAGAAAACTCAAGAGTGCCTATACTTGCTTAGAACCAAAATGCGAAAGAGGCCATATAAATCCAAAATACCTAGCCACTTGCACACCAACTATCCAAAGTGAAAGCATAAGAGATTTCACGGAAAGGAGGCAGTTTATCGAAGTCATGGAGTGGGTTTCTTTTATATTTTAAAGTCGGCCAGTGAATTGATGGATGATATAATTTTTTTTGAAAAATAAAAGCATTTCTGAATTGTTCCATTCTTTACTCCTAAAACACGCTCCTCCCGTCTTCTGAAATCAGAGGACTTATGTGGGCTGGAAGTCCAGGTTAGCACTTTTATAATATTGTTGATCTCATGGGCCAAGAAATCATAATTACTGAGTCTTGAGCCTTAGAGAATAGTATTAGGAATTATGAGGAATGTGTTAATTAACAGTGTTTTAAATTATGTGTAAACACATGGAGGATAGAAAGACAATTATTTTGATCCAAATCGAGAAATTTTTGTGTAGTTTAATAAAATATTAATTATAAGGGACTTGGTTAAATAAAAAACGCGGTACTGTGCCACTTCTAAGTGATACTGTGGTGTGGTGGTGGCAATCCAGAACTGTGCAGATGACAATGATAATGGTGATGGCAGTGATAATCATGATGGCAGTGAAGTGTTGGGCTCATTTCGGGTTGGTAGTGTTTCTGGATGCCTATATTTATAGCCTAAAAATGTTTCTACCATCACAAAATCCTTTTTGTATACTTGCCTCATTTTTATGTAGTTATAGTTTGATGGTCTGAAAATTTCAATTAGGTTATTGGCAATAATATTAATAGAGTCTATCATGTACCTGTAACTGCTACACAGAAAATT